CTTGGTGTCTGCGGATATTGTTCTAAAAAGGAGAAAAAAGTTCTCAAACAAAGATAACTGCGTGTACTGGGAGGAACCTGCTGTGAGCCTTGATGCTGCCCCTCTATGTCACAGCCCCAGGGACTTGTGCAAGCAGGGAGCGGGGCTGCAGCGGGTGTGTCTGACATTGCCCGTGCTGCCTCATCGCAGGGAGCAGGGTCCCACACGGAGTACTGCTTGTCCTCCCCTGCCCAGCCCATCGGGAAACTGGAGGGCTCCTTCTGCTGATGCCTTGGGAGCATCTTTCCATGAGTCCCTTTCCCCCACCATCCATTGTGTCTGCGTTCGGTGGCCGCGGCGGTTGGTCAGTGTTACGTTGTGCAGCAGAGGGTTGCATGCCAGAGGGACATCTCAGCTTCTCATTAATGATGAACCATCCCCCCGAGCCTTCACTCTGCTCTGCCGCAGGGTTACTGACACCAGTGCTTAGTCACAGGCTCAGCTCCGGGAGGCCGGAGGCTTTTGTCGAGAATGAGGCACAGAAAGTGGCATTAGAAGAGGAAGCCTGAAGTGAGGCAGGAATTCTTCCCTTGAACAACATGTACAGAGATTTCTAAACCCTGGTGCAGGCTGCCAGGTCTTTGCCAGGCAGTGCAGCAGCTCAGCTGCTCACAAGTAGAGCTTTCTCATAAGCTTTTATAATCACAAAGCTTTGGGGCAAAATCATTTCCAAACAAAAAAAGTTTTTAAGCACACACAAAAACAGGTCTGCTTGGACTAAAACAAAATCTGGCTGTCACTCTGTTTTGGAGCCTTGCTTTCCCTTAGGTTCCCTGCTTAGCATGGCCTTTCTGCGCCCCAGACAAAGGGCTCTTTTTGCAGCGGGCTGTGGTTCAGGCCCTAACCTCTCCTCTGAGCTCTCAGGAAGACATGTGGTCCTGTCACCTTATGTGCAAACTAATCAAACAAATAATCTTTCCCCAAATTGCTTCTTAACTCCCTGCTTGCCATGCTGGTTGTGAGGGTCTGGCACTTTGTCGCTGTGATGTGCAGATGTAAAACCACAGCATTGAAGCGAGGAATAAATGCAGAAGGGGAGGGCAGTCGGTTTCTAGCCTATCAGCAAGAGTGGGTGTAAGGAGATCAGGCTTTAGTTCTGCAGAATTCCTGATGGTACCTTCAGAAGTTGCTGAGACCCAAAACAGTTGCTGCTTTGTTGTGCCATAAACAAAACAGGGAGCTGCTAAGAGCATTCGACTGTCAGTCACCGTTAGCTTTGTCACCCTCATTTTATATAGTCACTGTTTTATATAGACACTGCTGTGATTTCAGAATGTGGGGCCTCATTTACGAACAGACTGGTACTACAAGTGCTCTTGAAGGCAATGGGAAGGTGCAGAATACCTATAGGATGTTAAATACCCGAAAAAACTATTCCAAATGAGACCCCACTAGTATGTGTTTTGGATGAGCCTCTCTGTATCTCACCTCCCCAGCTGTAAGAGGTGGATAATTGCAGTTGCTCTGAAAAGTAATTTGTGAAGCCCCCAGATATTGTAGTGATAAGCAGCAAAGAAGAGATTGTCGGGGGAGTCAGTAATTCTGTTTTCAGGGCAGGGCTTGAGCAGAGTGCAATCAATAAGACATATTGACCCATGAGGATAAAACACACGATGGGATAGCTCAGTAAGAAGTGCCACCCCTGTCATTAGGGATGGTCCTAGGAGGAACATGCACAGCAGGCTGCCCCGGCAACACTGGGATTGTCTAATTTTTAAGTGCTTGATTTTGCAACTTTGATGATGTTCTTTAGCACAAGAGCATTTCTGTGTGCCTGTGCAGTGCGGATTAGGGCACCGCATGGAGCTGTTTGGATCCAAGCCAGTCTGCCATAAAGCCACCTGTAACGTGAAGGTGATATTTCTCTCACCTGAAGTGTACTTTGGAGCAAAGCTACATAATACTGGTGAGGCACTCAGAGAGCACAGCAGTGAAATAAATAACACCCTACCTATTGTTCCTGATGCGGTCAAGAAGAGATTCGAAACACTGAGCACAGCCATGGGACTGCCCTGGAGGGAGGGGGGAGCTAGCTGAAGGGAGGACAGGCCACACAATCACCCATCGCTCCCTCCTTATTTGTGTCGCGTGCTTCTTGCCAGCTCCCTCTTGTATGGCCAACTCTTCCCATCTTCTTAGGACAGCTGTTCAAGCCCCAGAAATTATATGTCTGTAGCATTCACTGCTGTATTTCTTCATTTGCAAACAGAAAAAGATATGGTTAATTTTTTCACTTACATTGCCCTTATGCCTCATCACGTCCGTGCTCAGCTGAATCGGGGTTAGTGCAGCCAAGGTCAGAGCCCCAGATTCCTGTATCAGTTCTGTTCTGCAGAGCCGCAGGAACAGGGAAGCAGGCAGAGCCCGCTGCATGCAGCCTTCCCGTTGCTTGCAGCCTTGGGGGGAAGTTGGAGATAAAGTACTTTATTGCATCTGAACCAGCACAAAATGACTTGGACCTTCAGCCTGACTCTCTGTGCACAGTGTGGCCATTTGCTGTACAACTCGCCACTGCTCTAAGAGCTATTCTGAGCGTTTTGCAGCAGGAGGAAACTCTTACTTTCTTACTACTTTAGTTACTAGTTGCAAAAATAAAACTACAGCAACAAGCTGTTCAGCATAACAAAATCCTGTTCATGAGAGCTATGAAGTGAAGTACTTGCCAGAGCACAAAGGAATCTGTAGTTTAAACACAGTCTGGAACTGGATGTTATATAGAAACTGAAGTGATACATAGAGAGCAGAGAGTTACCTCTGTTCCTGGCAAGGAATGCTTAGGCAAAAATTGTCTCTCTGCTCTTGCAGGTTCATGATATCAAATTTCAAGCTCCAACTTTGGAAGAAAAGGAATCATGGATAAAAGCTCTTAATGAAGGGATCAATAGAGGCAAAAACAAAGTATTTGATGAGGTAAGAGGAACAGTTTTCAAACTCCTGTATTTCTGTGTCGATTCTCATCCACTGCTTTTTTAGATAAAAGCAGAACTTGCCTGAGCCCCCGTGTTCCCTGTCCTTCCTGCATGCCAGCCATGATCGAAGGAAAGAGAAAGATGGTATTCAAGGCAAACCAGGTCTCATCCCCGCAGGCTGGGAGCTTTTAGCCACTTCAGTTCCCAGCCCAAGAAGGGAGAACATGTAGAGAGCCGTTTGCACCATCCTACGTCTTGCCGCTTTTCCCTTTCTTCTGGCCAGGGTTAGATGCAGGGAGGCAGGGACAGCTGGTTGAGTAGACGGTGTGCCGGAGGGATGGTCTGTGCTGCTAAGAGCTAACATCTCATCAGGAGGCCCATGGGACACAAGAGCTCACCCAAATCAGTGTGAGATGGTCTGGTGGCTTCAGTGGGTTTGGGATCAGGGAATGCAGGGGTGTTCCCCTCTCCCAGTGGAAGCGGCTGGTGCAGAGAAGCAGCTGCAGCACTGAGTTGTGTAGAGCTGGGGCTCCAGCCTGGAGAGACCTGTCTTCCCCACGCTGCCATGATCCGCAGCACCAAGCAGCCTGGAAACGGAGGCATTTGGTTAGGACATAGCCCAGTCTTCAAGACTGGAAAAATCTGAAGTGACTCAGTCCACCAGCTATTCCACCTGCAGTCTGGAGAGAAGTCTGGTGGAAAGTTACTCCGTGGCCCCAGCCAAACCTGCCTGCCTCTCAGCTGGCCCCAGCACACCTGCACTCCCAAATTCTCCAAGGGTGAAAATTGCACATCCTAGAGCCTGACTAACCTTGCCCTGCTCCCTGTTAGCTTGTAAATCAGTCCTGAACTAAACCAAAGGAGCTGTATCTATTCTGCAGTTGTTTCAGTAACTGAAAGGAAGTGCACAAAACCACCATCACAGGAATGACTCAAGAAGAAATGGGCAGGGTAACGAGGGGACGAAGCAATCGGCAAGATCTGTTTGGCAAAGGAAACTGAAGCAATGAGTAAATTTTTGAGAAAAGGACTAAGTGCTGCAGATACGGTACTAGAGATGCAAACTCTGAGAGCTTGGGCTTTGCTTTTCTTCAGCAGAGGGCAAAAGCAGGAGGAGAGGCTGGAACATGCTCCTTTTTTGCCAAGGCAAATGGCACTTAGTGTCAGGTTTTTGCTGGTAGTGGGGTGTAGCGTTTCCTTGGGCCCTTGGACCAAGTGGGAAGCAGCACGTGGAATTTAAGGGACCAGCTGGGACCAGCAGCAGCCTGGAAAGATAAAACCCAGCAGCAGAGAGCTTAGCAGCCAGGTCTACTCTCATGTTTCAGCAGGTGGGAGATGCAATGTCCTGTAATGCAATGCTGCTCAGCCCTTGCTGGAGCGAGGAGCTGGCTGGGAGCTGCTTGGAGCGGCATGGCATGTGGCTCTCCGGTGGGCAGTGAACTCTGCACACCCCCGCGGCAGCACAGTAAGGTGGGATCTCAGGTCACCTCCCTGCCCCGTGGCCTGGGTTATCCTCCTTATGAGGACCCGGGTTCTCAGAGGGAGCCAGCCTCTAATTCTCATTCATTCCAGTAAGGATCAGACTTCAGATTTAAAGTGTTTCCGCACAGGCCAGGCACAAGCTAACTGGTCAAACCCTCAGCTGGCTTGGATTAGCTGTTCTCCGCTGAAAGAGCTGTAAAACCACTCTGCCATATCAGCCAGGGACTGGGACCCATTTTTCCCTTTAAATCCCTATTTCACCCTCTCCAGCTTTCCTGTTGTACAAACTTGTGGCCAGCAAACCGAGGACACGCTGATGTTTCACCATCCCCGGTCACTGGTGCTGCCCCTCTGCATGGAGCAGTCTCCAGCCATCAGCCATCGCAGCACGGGTGGGTGGGTGGTCACAGAGCCAGCACAGAGAAATACCTGCCAGGGGGCTGGGACCTCCCTCCCCACATGCGGGAGGCAGTGGATTTCTCATCTGATTCCAGGAAATAAATGTATTAATTCAGCTAGAGTTGCAGTTAATCCAGGTCACTGCTCACACTTTCTCTTCAGCATCCTGCAGTCATTAGAGCTGTAGAAGGGAAGGCCTGTAACGAAGCGCTGTTGATACAGTTCACAGTCAGGTCACGGTTATTAATGAGCTTTCACCTCTAAGATGGCAACAGCAATTTTGGTGCTGTGCTGTGCCACATGCAGGAGCCGGTCCAAGTCCAGGCTGCAGTGAGGACAACAAAGCTGCCTTGTGTCCTTCCTTCCCTGCCCTTTAGGTAGAGGGGAGGTTAGCCATCGCAAACCTCTGAAGGTGGATGCTTTGCTTTGGAGTGTCTTTTAGATAAACATGGCTCAGTATAGGACAGATACCTTAAATATCCATCACGTACATTCAGGGCTTTGCATGCAGGCTGTAACTAAGGTCTGAGGCAAAGACTGTAGTGGTGAAATATTCAAACCCCTCCTGGATCCAAATGCTCCATCTCTTCATATGTGACAGTGAGAACTTTATAGACGTATCTTGAGAAATTAATGACCCTCTTCCATTTTTCTTTCCCTCCTCTTCTCCCTTTTAAAGGTGAAAGTAGACGAGAGCCTTTCCTTGGACCATGTAACACGGGACAGAGTGAAAATGACCCACGGTCGCAGGCCACCGACGAGAAGTCACCTAAAGGAGGTAAATGCACCCCCCTGGGGTGAGCCATCTCCCCAGCTGGGATCACCAAGAGCTGCTTCTTCCACTTAGGTACAAAACCCCAGGAAAAACCCCAGGTACAGAGACCCCAGAGAAAGCTGACAGGGGAAACAGCTTCCTCCGGGAAAGATTGCGCCAGCACCTCTCTAACGAAGCTCCAGGTTCCCATAGATCTGTAGTTGCTGCAACACGTTATGATATATTTAGCTTTCCATAACTCACGAGCTGCTTCACCGTCTGGTGAGAGCCATTATAGTTTCACTTTAATCAGAAGAGACCGAAGCTCCTATATTTATTTTCTAAGAAGTGATGATTTTGTAGCCACAGTGGTCTAAAGGTAGAAGAACTGCACAGTCTGTGGGGAGAAGCTGTATTTTTTATTAAGCTAACTGGAAAAAGCAGACAAGCTTTCAAGCTTACAAGCCCTTCCTTAGGTCTGAAACAAAACACATTATTCTCCCAGGCAGTTTTATGGACTAGCCTGTCTACTCCTAACTGATTTTCTGGATCTGTCACTTAAAAAAAAAAAAAAAAAAAGAAAAAACACCACAAAATAAACCTACAGTTTATTTCTATGGGAGAGGTTCTTACTAATGCTTGATTCCTGTGATTTATGAAAAAGTTGCCACAGACAGATTGATATTTTAGCAGAGCATTAATCTCAACCAAGAAGGTTTTTAAAGCAAACCTTCTTTCTTCAAACTTCCAAGACTCTGACTTAATGTGTCTCTCAGATGACCCTCGTGCAGCAAATGAGATGCCCCGAGACTTTTTACTTTGCACAGAAATGGAGGACGAGTGTATCTTCTAGAGAAATGCATGGGAATGAATCACAGATTCCCATCCACTCCTCCAGAAAACTGCAGAAGAAAACATGACAAAAGTCACAGCAGCAATGAAGTGTGGATTCTCTGTTGCCTAATATGGGTTCAGGAAGGTAGGAAGCCCTTCCCTAGGCACTGAAAAGATCTCTCTCCCCTAGTCATCTCACTAAATTCACAAGATGATACCTCTGAGGTTAATACCTGTAAGACCTCTCACCTTCAGCCAAATTCAGGTGAAACTGGCTTACAAATTCAGAAGCAGGAAGGAGGGGAAAGGGAGGGGATAGAGCCTGCAGAAAGATGTGTATCACGGCTGCCGGCTGCAATATCGTGAAGGAAATGGGATGAACGATGATCTTCAGTGTCAAAGCAGGCCAGGTGAAGACAGGTCAGGGCCAAGCTGCCAGGATGCAGCTTGCCTCCATCTCTCTGATGGGCTGGAAAGGCAAAGAGAGACTTTAACTAAACTCCCTGCACTTCAGGAGTCTGGCCCTGGCTGCAGCTATGCCTTCGTGTGGTTTTGCATTCCCTCACACAGGAACTGTCACCGCATTTCTCCCTCTGGGGCACTGAGCTTACACACTGCAATGTCTTTACTAAGTCCATCCTTTTTAGGACACCTCCCCCCCCAGCTAGAGTGATTTGCACACAGCCTGTGGTTTGAAGGAGGTTTAACCAGTTGAGGCTTGGCCCCGGTGAGACAGGGATGACATCACATTGGAGGAAGCAAGCAGAAGGCAACGGCATTACAATAGTATCCGTGGCCAAGCGATCTAAAGATCAACTTGTTTTATATGTTCAAGTAAAAATATGACAGTCCCAAAAGCAGAAAGCAGGTGTGCTTTGGGTAGGCACGTTGTAAATGAAGGGGGTAGAGGGATCCAGCTACCACAGGATAAAGAATTAAAATATGGCAGAGCTGACCGCTTAACACCGACAGGAAAACCAAGAAATAAGGTTATCGTGGAACAGGCTTTGAGACGTTCTTCTCAAAGGAAGTAGCAAAATAAGTTCTGTGCTTTTGTCCTAATTCGTGACTGCTTATGTTTATGGGCTTTGATATTCTTGTACAAGTTGCTGCAGTATCAGGCAGAAAATAACTCGGAAGCAAAACGCTCATGACGTTCACAGAATGTGTTGGTCTGGGGAAAAAGCGGGGCTATGCAGGGGGGTGGAATGCTTCACTCGATGCTTTCAAGATTTGCTGCAATGTACGTGACGACCCAACTTTCTTCTTTGTTGGGTGAAATGTTTGGGACTCGTGATTATCATAGCTCATTAAATTTTAGCATAGCAGATCACATTGGGTTTCACTTATCAGATTAACGCTGGTAGAGCTGGCTACTGCTGTTGGAGGGTAGCACAGGGTGATGCAGCATGGAAGAAGCGCAAGCTCCATAGATTGCTCTTGAGCTATAGAAACAGCTGCTCTTAAGAGCACCATTTTTGTTATCAGTCAGATTCTTCTTGCAGTTTTGACAGATGTAAGTATAAACGGGGTGGATGTGTGAAGCAGCAAACCCCTTGCTTGCCAAGCTGGTTGTGAGGGTCTTGCACTTTAACTTGAAGTTAGAGCATGGAGCACAGGACTGATGATGGGATAGATATTGAAAAAGTTCTCGCTTGTATTTCAGGCTGCCAAGTGGGTTTCACTTATCAGATTAACGCTGGTAGAGCTGGCTACTGCTGTTGGAGGGTAGCACAGGGTGATGCAGCATGGAAGAAGCGCAAGCTCCATAGATTGCTCTTGAGCTATAGAAACAGCTGCTCTTAAGAGCACCATTTCTGTTATCAGTCAGATTCTTCTTGCAGTTTTGACAGATTTAAGTATAAACGGGGTGGATGTGTGAAGCAGCAACCCCTTGCTTGCCAAGCTGGTTGTGAGGGTCTTGCACTTTAACTTGAAGTTAGAGCATGGAGCACAGGACTGATGATGGGATAGATATTGAAAAAGTTCTCGCTTGTATTTCAGGCTGCCAAGTCTACATCAGATGGTATCCTGCGACTAGACCTGGATATAGTAGGCAATGGACCGCCAAGCTTCGATTCCACTATCAGCGAAAGTGACAATGTGCCACCTCAGAAAGAAACTCCAAAGCCCCCTATGCCACCTACAAAACCCACGGGCACAAAAGAAAACCAAGATGCAGAGAACAATGTTCCTGACCAGGAACATAAAAAACCTCTGTCTCCTCCGTTGCCTCCAGATAAGAAGCTTAAGGAAGGCATAGCATCAAAGGACAACGTAAATGCCAAGGAAGAGGACTCTGTAAGTCCAGAGGAGAACGTGGAAGGGTCCCAAGCACCAAGTGAGGAGAACAGAGAGAACCTCATTGAGGTCAGCAACAGGGGCATAGCAAAAGCTCCAATTCCTCTTCCTAAGAGCGTGCCAGACAAGCTAAAAGTACCTTGGGACCAACCAGTCCCTGAGCCTAAAAACACAGAAGACTTGAAATCAGCAGGAGATAGTAGCAAAGACAACCTTGCTGAGATTGCCGCTGCAGATGTTACAAAGCCTCCTGTTCCTCCTAAGGTTCTGTCAGAAAAAATGCTAGCCACAATGAACTCCAGCCACGGTGACCTGGAAGCTGGGGTTTGGGAAGACCTGGAGTCTGGCAGCTCCAAGCCCCCGGTGAATGGGATCTCAGCCAGCGAGGTAGCAGAGTCCACATCCCCAACAGTTGAAACTGAAGAAGGAAATAGGAGAACCTCTGCCGAGAAGGAACAGCAAACTTCAGCAGAAGAGACAGAGACTTCCTTAGCTACAGAAACAGGCCATGAGAGTGTAAAAGCAGCTATTGAGAAGAAAGCGTCTGTAGAAAGCACTTCAGGTCTCAAACTTCGCAGTTCTTCTTTGGGAGACTTGCTGTCTGATTCCAAAAATACACAGAGAGCACTTCCAGGCCAAGGCTTCCCCAAGGATTCCCATCACTGCTTAGCTAAAATGGAGGAGAAAGTTGCTAATGAAAGGGAAAAGGCAGAAAAACTTCTGCAGAAGGTTTTACGTGAAGGGTTGGAACAGGCCCAGGAAGGGAATGGACCCCCAGTGATGGCAGAGACATTGCTCAATGAGGCAGTAGAACAACTTCGGCAAGCTACACAAGTTTTGCAAGAAATTAAAGGTCTTGGAGAACTGAAAAAAGAAGCAACACAGAAACAGAAAGAAAAGCAAAAGGATCTAGTGACTCTTTATAGGAGAAGTGCTCCCTGACATACTCTTCAAAGAGACTTCTTTCTCAAAATCAAAGCTAAACATTTGCCATTTATGATTTGTACCATTGCTAGGCCAGTGTTTAAAAGGTGGTGTTCTGCTGTGCATGCACCATGTTTATGGGACAGAATTGAGCTTTCAGTTATAGCATCTTTCTATCTTTCTTCATGCTGTACATACCAGTCCAGTTCTAATCCTCTTAGCACAGCAGAAGGTTACAGGACATTGAACGGTTTCAAAAATGTGAATGCTCTTTAAGGACTCTGTCCAAAATCTTTTCCATGGATCAGGCCTTAAAAATTACTGCTAATCAAACCAAGCCAGATTTTTGAAAGGAGCAGATTCTAGCAAAAGCCCCTGTCTATCTGTATTTACAGACAAGCAGATACCAGATTACACTGGCACCTATCTGGTTTTCCCAGTTAAATCATTTAAGGATAAATGTAGTCAGTGTTTGTTCACTTGCTGGCAAGGTTTCCCAGACCACCTGGCCAGTGACATCAAGGAATGTAAAGATAAATGGTTTAATCTTCTCCAAAGATACTCATAAAACCACATCCACAGTTAAAAAGTGACCTCACACAGAGGCAAACAAAACTGGCCAACTCCTAACTACAAGTAATGTCCTCAGATCTGGAGCAGCTGTACAAAGGCACTCTTCTGAGCCTGGCTGTGCAGAGCTTTAGGTGTGCTAAGCACTGCGTAAGTGAACGCAAGTCTCAACGCATCATTGCCAGGCAAGTATTAATTGTTCCTGTTTCATTAATAGGGAAATTGAGGCAAAGAGCAGGTTACACTTGGCCTTTGAAGGAGTGTCTTCTAGCAGCACGACACATTGATTATTGAGGACCATACCTATCTGGTAACTCTGAATCCCCTCATCATCGTTGGGAACAATTAGCCAGGCATTTGGAAAACTTGTGTCCAGGAGATCACCAGGAGCCTCCTAGGAGAGCTGTCAGTAAGAAGCTTTAGGGATGTGTGTTCCCTTAGCTGTAGGCTCGCTCTCTGTGTTGTCTTGGGATGTTAACTGACAGGAGCGTGCACATCAGGCAGCGCGTCTGGATGAGATCCCTCTTCCTATTTAACACGTCCCTACCTGCTGTGTCCTGGCTAGCCTGAGCACCGTGGTTTGGCACAGACGTCTGTAATTGGAGTACGTGGTGGGAAAGGCATTTTGCACGCACAACTTTGGGGCTGGTCCCAGTGGCTTAAGTATATTAAAATAAAAATGCATCGCTACAGAAGGGTCTGAGGAAGACATTGCAGAAGGCTCTGGCACAATTCCCACAGCTTCCCTGCCCACCTGCTGAAAGCAACCGCAGTTCCTGTGGTCTTTAGTGATTACAGCTGTGATAAAATCATGTCTTTGCACTGCTGCTGTATAGCCCCATACCTGAGCTGGGTCCCCTCCCCTATTCTCTATAGGTGCTCTGAGGAGAATCGTATGAGAGCCCGAAGGGCTTCTTTGCTTGAGCCAGACTCTGGAAGCACGAAAAAGGGCAATCTTCCCAGTCTGGTTTTAAGGAGTGACACGCTACCTAAGCTCTTTTCTCTCGTTTGCCAGCACTGCCCTCTTAGCTCACCCATTTCTTTTTTTTCTGTTCTTTTATAATTTCCCAGGTTCCACAAGGCTGCAATGGGCTGCAAACACCCCCCATAGCAGCAGCCCAGAAAAGCTTCATCTGCGCCTCTTCTTAGGCTAGGCAGTGGCGCTTCTTGGCGCTTCAGGTCTGAGCACAGAAATGTTGCCTTTGGGCTTCCAAATATCCTGTTTTTCACCACCCAGAGCCACCAAGACAGGTAGTGACTAGAACTGATGTTTCTGCCTCTTTTGATTAAAGCAGCCTTGGTTTCAGTGGTCTGTCCCCCTCTCAAGACAGCCATAGACATTGCATGGGAATTCACTTGTTACTCTCTCACGTGGGAAGTTCTACACAGTCAAACACTCAGGGCTCAGGTGCCAAAAAGCTTTACTTTGAGACAAAAAGATTCCTACGTCCCAAGCCCACTCCCAGGCACATAGCCTGGAGCAAACTCTGGATCTGTGTCATTTGCTGCTGTAGATTCAATGTGAACCATGGATCTTGTTTGCCTTTCCAGACATACTTAGGACAAGGGCTAATAACACAGACAATATTCAGTGCCTATCTGCTATCTAAATGTATTTTTCTGCATGTGCACTTTTGTTTACCAAACACTGTGTGGTATGAATGTGAGCTGTCAGAACCTGGTGTGCACTGGAAGTCGAGGGACATCAGCTTCAGAGAGCAGTCAGGCTTTTGCAAGATGCAGTTCTGTAACAAGAGATAAATTAGGTGGGGAAAAAGCAGTTCACGCTAACTGGAAGACACACAAACCAGGGCAAACTCTGGGTACAGGTTCATATCGCAAAGCAGAAGCCAGTTCTAAACTCCAGGAGGGGCAAATCAAAGCCTGGAACTGAAAACCCAGGAGAATGAGAACAGCTTATGGGATAGCGCAGTCCCCTAATTTATATAGAAATGCTTTTGCTCTCGCAGGTGTTTTCTTGTGGCGGTGTGTTCTGTGGATACCCGTCTGGCAAAGCGCTGATGAAAATACCCAGACATCCCTATCTGTTACAGCCAAACCTACAGGATGTGCTTGTATTTACTGTATATTTTTATATTATACTGAATATCCTAATGAATAAATGTCTGACATTTTACTAAATACCCATCAGTAGGAATCTTAACGGATAAAAACTCCTATATCTGTTAGGAAATGGGCAAGTTAAATCATTTTACAAGCTACAGCTAATTACTGGATTTGCTGTACTAACAGAACTTGTTAGATTTGTATTATGTCTTGTAAATAGGTGTAACTTAAGTGGAATCTCTGTAGCACCCAGTAACTCTACTGCTGAAAACGCTATGTTAGAGACTCTTTGGTTTTAACTATTTTTTCTAATAGGGTTAGCAGTTCATCCTAAAATGTCTAGCCCAGCCGTAAGCCTGATTTACCTGCACTCTGCAGGAAAAAACGCATCATGTTGCTTCTGCCGTTTTCCTACTTATTCTTCTCATTCTGGTCACGAGCCAGGCCCTGCCTAGGGCTGGAAACTGCCTTCTGGGGTGTTTTTACATGCTTCTCTGAAAATGGCAGTGCTGGTCAGAGTCAGAGACAGGATCATGGTCTGCTCTGACCTCATACAGCAGCTCCCATCTTCAGTGTACATCCTGCCACCATGCACTTTTTAAAAAATCTTCCTTTAAACTTACATTTAAACTTACATCTAAATTCCGGCTGCACTAAGGCTGTTCTTTTGTGCCTGAAAACCCTGTGGGCATGGAGCATTGGGGTGTGAGTCTGTGTTTTGGGCTGTGCCACCAGGTTACATGTCTGTGACAGGAAGGAAGTGAGTTTGCAAGCAAGCAAATGTGGATGACTATCTGAAAAGCAGCTGCTGCAGCCCGTGGAAAGGCAGCACTTTGCCTTCTGCTTGTAAATAGCTTTGAGATTTGGCAATAAAACCCTCTTTTAAATATCAGCTGTTTAAGAGCCATTTGTCCTAAATAGGAGCAAAGAAGAGCCACCAGGACTGGCACATTGAGGCTTTGCTCTGGCGGAGGGCGCGTTGCACAGGCTGTGGTCAGGCTGGGGTGAGCTAGATGCTGTGCTAACCACAAGCCTGGAGGAAGCAGAAGCACTGGGGGCTGCGGCTGGCACAGAGCTGGAGCTGTGCAGTTCCTGAGTCATTCCTGCCTGCCAGCTTGGCTGCCCTGGCCAGAAAGCATGGCCGAGGCCAGGATCTGCTTCTGCTCCTTCTGGAAAGCAGTGGGAAGCATCCCCGTTGCTGGAGACCTCACCAAGTGCAGTCTCCAGCAGTGCTGTCTGGGCTGCCCTTAACATCTTCACGTGGACTCTCTGGTGTCTAGAAAATGTTGAGCTCACTCAGAAATCATCCCCTCGGTGGTGAACAACACCAGAGCCTCGTTCCTCTGCCCAGATGCCAGTAAGCTACAGGAAGGTAAGAAGCTGGTATCACAGGGACTGCTTCCCTTCTGCGAAAACTGGGTAGAAACTGGTCAGTAGGTTCAAAAGTTACGAGGAAGCAGGGAAAAGAGTGCAAGTATACGTGCCATCCTATTGCACAAGCTTGGCTTCATTTGGGTAAAAAAATGTGCTTAGCAAACTGTCCAACCCCTTGCTGGGAAGGGGGCTCTTCCTCAAAGGAATCTCCAAGACACAGCGTTGATTTCTAGAGATACACTGTAGAGAAAGGCTCTCTTCCCCTCGCACTAAGAAAACAGACAACACATCACATTTTGGCCTTAAATTGATGTTGGTAAGGAAGGGAAGTGACTAGCACTATGTGAAACATGATTTAAAAAAACACAGATGAAAACATACATAGTATTGGCATATGAAACATTTGCCTGACTGCTTTTATTTCAATGGATAGTCATGGGTTACTGGTTCGAAGAGACTGTGTTATTGTGTAATCTGAAATAGAAAATGCAGGTCCTAGGTTCCGTCTAGTGACCCCACAGAACTCAATAATTTGCAAATGAAAAAGAGCAGAAAGAGCTCTTCCAGTCCCAGGGTGCCAAAAGATTTACTACAGCACTGGCTAGTCTACTCCGGGCTAATTGTTCTTGCTATTAAAAAAATGTGTGTTTTATCTTAAATATGAGTCATCAACAGTGAAGCTCTCCAAGATTTTCCCTTTCCAGGTTAAGAGTTAGAAAATTTGCAGGCACAGAAGATATCCACTGTGTCTAGAGAATGGAGATCCCCATTTTGTTATGCTATGCAAGTTCACATACTTCAGAAAGCCAGTGCTTAATTTATTCCAGGAAACTTAGTCACTGTGTTGTTCTAGCGCCTTACCTCACGGCTAAGCAACCCACAATATTCCTGTGACAACCGCTGATGTGATGTTACAAAGCATTAACGATTTCATTCTCAGCAGCCATCCTGCTGTCTGAGGTCAGTGCAAGGTACTTTAAGCCATGTATTTCCCATCCCCTCTTGGGTATCAGAGATCCAGTCCTACCAGCTTCACTTCAGAGAGCAGCTGGAGGCTTAGCCCTCGCATCTCCTGCTGTGCAGCGTTAGTCCCCTCTGCCTGAGCTAGCCCAGCTTGGCAGTTCAGAGATTGTAAAACACAACGTATGAGGAAATGGGGAAGAAATCCCACCTTAGTGCATCTTTACGAAAGATGATACGTAAAGCACATGTATTCACACCTATAGAAAAAAACCCCAAACTGTGGAATATTGCAAAATGCCATTTGTAAGAAGTTACGACAGGAGGGATGGCTGTCAACAGCTTATCACATCGACTGGGTAAAGGGAAAAAAACAAAGTTGGCTTAATCTGCAGCAAAAAAAGATTGACGACTTCTGTTTAGAAAAGTCTTCCAGGCCCAGGGTGGATGTATTCTAGAACGGGATCCACAGGGGGACCTCCATCACTGGGATTTCTTAAGAGCAGATATGCAGGGAAGGTGGGTACATCTCACCCTCTTCCACATGGAAAGGTGGATGAAACTGTTGCCTGAGGTCCTTCCCAGCTACATGTTTTCCGCAGGACACTGGCAGAAGCCTCAGCAACCAGACTCGGGGGCTAATAAACCCCACAGGCTGTTCAGGTCTTTAACCCTGTTTTCCCTTTCGCTGGGGAGCTGTGGGATGATAAACGTGGTGCCCTAGAAATCCCCTGCAGACCCTGTTCACACCTCCTCAGCCTGGCCTGCTCTCCCCAGCTTTCTTCTCTTCTCCTCTTCTGCTTCAGGTTTCAGTTCTCGTCTCTCCCCACTTTCCCATCTCATGCCCCTTTTCTGCCAGAACAACTGATTCCTAGAAAGCTCGGCGCTGTGTTGATAGAAGCTGTCCATAAGTTTAGTTGTACCGCTGCCAAGAAAACCTTACTCCTCGCCCCCGTCAGATTCACGAGCTGGTTTCTACATCCCCATGGGGGGTAAGTTTGCGCTTTGGAACATGGGCATTTTTCAACGTCAGGAAATTAATTTTAAAATTATTTGCTCAAATAAATGAATGAATGGAATCAAAATGCTGGGAACCCAAGCTAGAACTACCTCAATTTTTTTCACTAACAAACAACACTATTGGCGGTTCTTTTATAGCATCTTCCAGTATGATGAAGACCTGAAGGTGTTTTGTGGCCATGAATGAATTCCACCTTGTCGTGCAGCCAGGAGAGACAGTGGAGCTTGTCACTCTGCAGAATGAAGGCAAAGGCACAGAGCATTGAAGAGCTGGGCTCCAAACCCATTCTCCTGCAGCAGATACTTTTATTTTTAATTGGTGCAGTAGTGACCTTTTGCAGCAAACATTAGATAACCTGAACATTAGATAACCAGATGAAGTGCTCCTAAAAAAAACAACAAAAAAAGTGCCAATTCTGAGAATTTGTCCTTTGATGACTTCTCTAACCCTTAGCAGGGATAGGAATGGACCTCCAAATGCTGCTTTCTTTGGGCAATACGACAGTTAAAGAATAATTATTCCTAGCCCCTAAGTGGATAAGACATAACGTGCAAATACTACCAATAGCTGTTGAATCTACCATATTGTTCATTTAAAATAAGAAATAAGAACTTGGAAGTATTTTGGAGATGTTCTGGGGGAAAAGACAAAGCCATCTGGAGCAGAGACTGTAAAAGGGTGTACTGGAGAAGAGGTCAGAGGAAGGA